AAGATTAAAATATCAAATGAATTTCATATTTCTACTTATATTTCTAACATTCTTTTCTTCTTCACCTTTTGATGTTGTCAAAAAGGGGGAGAAATTGTTTGTTGTTGCGTATGTTTTTGCACTATTTGATTTTCGTAGTGTTTGATTTGTTTCGTAGTGTTTGATTTTTGTATGTGTTGTTTTTGTAGTATTTGATTGTTTTCTTTATTTTGTCTTTTATGTTATTTTTAGTTGTATAAAATTTTTCAAAAATAATTTTTTTTTTCAAATGCCTCCTTATTTTCATGAGTTCATCAATTCAGGGGGAGTTTAGGAGATACTTAGAATTTGAAATCCTACAAACAATAATTGTTTTCTCATCATCAAAAAGGAGGAGATTGTAGAGAGAGTTGTTATTTGCATGTTTTATATTCTTGCAACTTGTATTATTTTGATGATTTCAAATATTATTGTTTTTTTATATCTCCTAACAGTTTTTGGAAGTTTTATTTTTTGCTCTAGTGTGTACTAATATTTCAGGAAAATCAACTCCAAGCGATGAAGACTTCAAACTATTCATTTGTAAATCATATTTTTTTACATGAAAGGGAGTGATTGTAATTGAGTGAAAAAATCACAACACACGCTCTTAGGGGACAATTTTTGTGAATTGATCGTACGGGACGAACCTTGTTCGTACGGGACGATCATGTCAATTAGCCCATCAGAAGGGCAACAGATTGAACATGCAAGGAGAAAATTTTCTAAGTCCTATTCGTCCAGGACGAATTTAATATTCATCCCGGGACGAAACTCTCAGGATTATCACTTGCAATGTTCGTCCAGATGAAAAATAAGGTTCGTACCAGGACGAAACTCTCTGTATGAGATATTACATGACGAAATTATTTTCTTCCCTGGATGAAACTCTCTGGATGAGATCATACAGGACGAAATATATTTTCGTCCCTTGACAAAACTCTCTGTTTAAAATCATCCCAGGACGAAACTTGTTCGTCCCAAGATGAACTGAACCGACTTACGTTAGTTTGTTACGTCCTGTAGAATTTTTGGAAACCGACCTATGAAATAACCATTTCGTACCGGATGAACATAGTTCGTACGGGACGATGAGCGTGTACGAACATATTTCGTTCCAATATGCATTAGGTTCGTTTACGACACTTTAAGTAAAATCGTCCAGGATGATCCACGATCGTACGGGACGATACACTACGTACAGAATTGAAAACTTGCAGTTTTTGTGTGGTTTTTCTTGTCTTTTATATATATAGTTCAAATTAGACTGCCACTCAATCTTTTTGTCATTTGATCTTGATGCCTATTGAAAGAAAAGTCAAGGAGAGAGTGTGAGAGAGCATTCAAAGGAGGATTCCTACTACTGGAGCGTGAAAGCTTCACTTAGATTACTTCACTCTTTTCTTCCTTCTTTCTAGATTTCTTGTGAGAAGATCTTTCAAGGAGATCCGGTTCTCTGCCGACACTAGGAGAGTGTAAAAGGATGAAGGGTTCTATGCCCACACTAGGAGAGTGTGAATAGCCGAAAGGTTCTCTGCCCACACTAGGAGAGTGTGAAAAGACTAAGGGTTCTCTACCCACACTAGGAGAGTGTGAAAGGATGGACAGTTCTCTGCCAACACTAGGAGAGTGTGAAAGGATGACGGTTCTTTGCCGCACCAGGTAGTGGTGAAAAATGTGTTTGTAAAGCCTTCTCCGCCTTGCTGTGGGTGCAAAAGGAGAGACTCTATTGGTATTAGTGCATTACTCAGAGGGTGCCTCTGGGGAGTGGATGTAGGTCTGGTTTAGACCGAACCACTATAAATCGTGTGTCTTTTTATTTTTTACTGCTTTTTATTTTCTATATTTACTTTAGTGTTTTAAAGAATTCTGGTTGAAAAACTTTTTATAAAAAATATCTTTAAAGTTTAATTTCGGTTAAAATTATCAAAAGAGGGAAAATTTTTAACTACCAATTCACTCCCCTTTTGGTAGCCTTAGGACATTAACTTAGGTCTAACAACCTATTCACTAGAATCAACAATAAGATGTAAACTAAAATAATAAAAAAATATAATTAAAATAATTTTAAAGCACTTAAGAGATCCTCTTATTTTTAAGATATTTGAAAATAATTTTTTTATTTAAAAAAATAATATAATATTTAAATAACATTAAGATATTAAAATAATCCAAATTAATCAAAATAAATTTAGATTTAAATTAAAATTCTTAATTTTTTGATAAGATTTATATAATATTTATATTTTTATGAATTAATTTGATTTTTTTTGGAATTTTTAAAGTTTTAAGTTATTATTTTGTTTGGAATTTTTAAAGTTTTAAGTTTTAATTTTTAAAGTTTTAAGTTATTATTTTATGAATCGAGTCCAAAGCTAAGTCTTCCCACCAAAAAGAAGAAAAAACCCCAAAGTTAGCACAATGGTCCGCTAACTTGTTACATCTTCTCTTAATGCTATTAAAGAAAAAAAAATTCAAATCAAAGATAAATGAAAATTTATCATTACCTCTTCTTCCTTTCTTGAGAGCTTTATGAATGATCTTGATGACATTTTCATTGTCACTCTCAATTATGATACCTTTGAAATTATTGCTCCATTTATTAATCACCTCTTGAATGGATGTTATAGCTAGAAGTTCCAAATAAGTAATATCCTAGTGCATATGAGGAGTTCCGAAAGCTGCAATCAACCGCACTTTGTAATCTCTTACAACTCCTCCTATACCGCCTTTGTATCATGAATATAAAGCCGCATCTACATTTATCTTAATCCAATTGGGTGGAGGAGAGTACCAACGGTCTTCTAATAGCATAAGCTGATTAGTACTCAACCGGCCCATAGATGAATAATTGAAAGATTTAGAAGCTCCAACGTAGGTGATTGCCTCTGCTGCAATGAAAATTGAACTTTTTTCCTTCTTACCATGAACTAATTCATTTCTCTCTTTCTAAGTGAGATAAATGGCATAACAAAAAACATTGGAAATGAAACTATTTTGCTTTTCCAACCAATTTAAACTATCCTCCTTGGAAGAAAAAATTGAAATACCAAATCCCTAGTTATTCAAATAGAGAATAACATCTGTAATTTTAAAACATTTACAAATCACATGATCAATGTTCTCCTCTTCATTACAACCTCTTGGGCAATTCAGCATCCTTCCTATTTTTCTATAGGAAAGAAAAGCAAAAGTAGGCAGGGCATCATTTAATAATCTCCACCAAAAGTTTTCAGCACGGGCATTAAGTTTAGAACTCTTAAGCCATTTCCACATATTTGAAACAGGGGATTGATACTTATTATCATTTGCAGCAATAGAGGTAATATTATTACCTGAATCCATATATAAAAGCTGAACCTGATCCTCCACAAGATCATTTCTGATTTGAATCAAACAAATCAGATTTATAAGTTCTTTCCCAAAGAAATTTTCCAGCTCTGTCAAGTTCCAACAACCTTCATTTATAAAGTTATCCAGAGAATAGAAATCTGTCATATCCACTAGAGAATTGACAAATGTTGGCCATCTATTGAGACTTTTATCGAAAATCTAGATGTCCTCCATAACATTAATAGATTGACCATTGGCAATCTCCCACCTCACAATTGGTTTTAAATATTTGCTCCCGTCTTTAATGATTTTCCAAGTCATCGAAACAGATCTGTTTCTGTTTCCAACTTTCCATACAGATCCGTATTTAGGAAATAATGATTTATTCAATAGAGAATCTTCCTCTTTTAAATATTTCCAAGCAACTTTAGCTCTAAGAGGACCTACTTTGTTGATGCAAGAATGTAACCCCCTACCTCCGTTATCAACTGGTTCACAGATTTTATTCCAGTTAATATAATGTAATCCTTGGCCATTGTTATCTTTATTCCAAATAAAATTACGGCATAATTTCTCAATCTCTTCAAGTATTGATTTTGGAATTATAGAAACAGTAGTATAAAAAGAAGGAATGGATAGAATAACCTTTTTAACCAAGGTTATTTTACCGGCCAGGGATAAAAATTTTGAACCCCAACTGTTCAACTTTTTCATAACATTATCAATAATAAATTGATAATCAGTTCTATATGGTCTTTTTAAAACTAATTTAGAGCCCAGATAACAAAATTATTTCACCTCATTATAGCCCAATATATTTTTGATCTTCCTCTTAATTCTTGTGTTCACAGCTTTACCAAAGAGCAACCCAGATTTAGGTGTATTGACTTTATGTCCGGTCCAGTTACAATACTTCTTAATGATTTCTTTAATCACCTTTACATTAGTGATTTTAGCTTCAGCAAATACCATTACATCATCAGCGTATAGAAGATTAGAAATTCTAGGACTATTGCTCCTAATTCGCACACAAATATTTTCCATCTCCAAAATAGCATATGAAAGTAACTACGAGCATAGATTAAAAAGATATGGAGACAGGGGGCATCCTTGTCTAAACCCACTACTAGCTTCAATCCAGTTAGAATGCTTTCTGTTAATTAAAATAGCATAAGAAGGGTTCAACACACAACCCATAATCAATTTGGAGAAAGATATAGGAAAACCAAAATAATCCAACACTTTGCGAAGAGTCGGCCACCCCATGGAATCATAGGCTTGTTCCATGTCTAACTTGATAGAAACCAATCCCTTAGAAGCTTTAGAGTGTCTGAATTTACGAAATACCTCTTGGGCAATAAGAATATGATCATGAAGCGTCCTTCCTTTGATAAATGACGCTTGCTCCAGAGATATCAGCTTCGGTATCAAAAAGTTGATCCTGTTAAGAAGAATTTAGCAATTAATTTGTCTACCGTATTACACAAACTAATCGGTCTGTAATGAGCTGCATAAGTTGGATTATTGATTTTGGGAATCAACACAATTTGTGTTTTTTTCCAATTCTTATTCATATCAGCTGTCAGTAGGAATATTTGGATAGCTTTCCATAAATCTGCTTTAATTATGGGCCAGTAATTCTTAAAAAAAAAATAAGAAACACCATATTCTCCAGGAGCTGTGCAATCCGAAGTTCCTTTAAGAGCTTCTTCCACTTCATCTATAGAAACATCTTTGCTAAGTATCAATATATCTTCATTATCCAGACACTTACTATTCTTTGGCCAATCAGTGAGAATACAATTCTTATGATACCATTTGTTTCTGAAATACTGAATCAAAACTTCTTCTATCTCATTTTTCTTATCTACCAAAATTCCCAACTCATCTTTAATGCTAGCAATGAAATTGACATTTCTCCTAGCACTAGCAAAAGAGTGAAAGAATTTAGAGTTTTGGTCACCTTCATTAATCCACTTTACTTTTGCCCGTTGTTTCCACCAGGTACTTAACCGAGCCAAAGTAGAGTTTAATTCTCCAATTTTGAATTTTAGCAAACAGATTTCCTCAGAAGTAAGCAATCCATTCCTAGCTTCCTTCTCTTGAAGTTGTAGAATCTCTTTTTTAAGATTTTCCTTCAATTGTTCCAAATTTTGGTGCTTAGACCTGCTCCAAAAGTATAAAGACTTCATAGTTCTTCTCATTTTAGTATTAAGCATATCTGAAGGAGAGCCAATAGCTTTTCTGTTCCAAACATTTTGCACAACTAAAAATGACGCCGGATAAGAAGCCCATATATTCTCAAACTTGAATGATTTGCTGATTTTAGGAGATGAACTATTAAGATTCAAAAGAATAGGGCAGTGATCAGATGCGATTCTAGGAAGATGCTTAACCACTAGAAGTTGATTAGTATTGACAGAATAAGAATTAATAATCATCCTATCCAGTCTTTCCATAATCCGTTCCAGCCCTTTCTTGTTGTTACTCCAAGTAAACATAGGACCCATGAATTTAAGTTCATACAGATTATTAGAAATCAAAAAAGATTTCATATCTTTAGGTCCTGAAGACATTATAAATCTTCTACCTCCTTTCTTCTCTTCTTTAGCAAGCAAACAGTTAAAATCCCCACCTATGATTAAAGGAAAATCAATAGAAATGTGATGATACAAACCAATCCAGAGATCTCTTCTTTTGTGTACTTCTTTGCTGCCATAAGAAGTTGCAATCCTCCACTTACCAATAAGAGGAATATCCAGATCACCAATAATAAATTGTGAAGATGAATCAATCACTTTAAAAGAGGCCATCCTGCTCTTCCACATTACCAATATCCCTCCTAAAAGTCCAGCTGATGGAACATAATTGAAATCCCAACCAGTGCCAATTAAAGTATTCACTTCCTTACTATGAATAAAAGACAATTTAGTTTCCAAAAGCCCAACAAAAATAGCTTTATGTTCTTTAACAATCTCCTTAAGATATAGGGAAGCCTTTTTTTTCTTGGCTCCTCTACAATTCCAAAACACTATGGAATTCATTTATGGATAAGTGGGGAGTGACTCCCCCCTTTCTCCTTCTCAATGCCTTCAGTTCTTCTGTTTCTTGTCAATAATTTTACAGGTCCCAATCCTTGTAATTGTTTCAAACCTTTCTTCTTAGCAGTGTTCGAATTATCTCCCAGATTTATGATAACATAATTTGATAGAAGCACCAAGTTTTGATTTTCTTCTATAGTATTAACCCTGCTGAAATTCTATTTTTCTGAAATAATCAAATCTTCATTAACCTCCTTTCCCAGTGATAGTTCTTTTAAGGCTTCAAATTTGTTGTTGTTCTGAAATTTATCCTGAGACGGGCTAACAAAATCTCTGTTTTTGGATATTTTATCACCTCCAATACCTTTATCGGGTACTTTTGGAACAAACTCCATAGCATCGGTTTCCTTAACCAATTTATCAGAACTATTTGAGTTGAAGTCAACTATATCATTTGTCATTCCAACTGGAATTTCATTTGAGTTTATAACATCTTTATTGAAAATTTGTGATTTGTTTACAGATCCAGGAATTTTCTTCTTTTTGTTTCCAACTTGAATCCAAGGTCCATTTGCAACCTCTTTACAAGTTGTGACATCCCTGTTCCTGTCTACAATCAGAATTCCTTCATTAACATACTTATCTATGTCTGCCTTAGCATTGATACCTGGTATCACATATTTTGAACAATCTTCTTTAAGATGCCCTATCTTTCCACATGTACAGCAAAAAGTGGGTAATCTTTCATATTCAATGATTTGATAAAACTTCCCCAAATTACCTTCAACCCAAACTCCCAAAGGTAATATTTCATCAAGTTTAATACGCACACAAACTCTTGCGTAGTAACATATTTCCATAAATCAAATAAGGAGATCACACCTTGGAATCAATTGTACAAACGTTTTCTTCATCCCAACATTGAAGGGGTAGGTTTGGCAAACGGATCCAGATAGGGGCTGTAAGGCCTTTAAACGATGCAGGAGAAAAAGATGCATTCCATCTATCCATTCCAACAATATTCCCTTCACATAATAGGGTCCTGAGGTTATAATCTCATCCAAACTATCTGGATTTTCAAAGGCACAAAGTACCCAGCCCAATCCAAGCTGAGTTAAATGAAATTTTCCTACTCTTCCCCACTGTTTTCTTAGTTCAAGACTAATAACATGGAAGGGTATGTTATCACCGAAAATTTGGATAACTAAGGATTTATTCAATCTGTTAGAGTTCTCCACCTCTTTTTCAAGGTTTAGTTTAACCACCCCATCTTCTCCCACAAAATCCTTACCAAAATTCAATTTAGAAACTTTGATATTTGCTTTCCTCTTCCACACATTTGAACCAGCAATCACATTTCCAGATTTCTTTGAATTTTCAGCAACCTCAGAATTCAAATCACAATTACCCAACACTCCAGAATCGCATTTCTAAACAGTAATCAGATTTGTATTTTGATCATTTCCTTCATGTTCCTTAGTCACTACCTCCTCTTCAACCAAAACTTGGTCTCCAAAAACCAGGTTGTTCACATTTGAGTTATGATTAACCTTTGACTTTACCATCTTCTTATCAGCCTCTTTAATACAAGTAGTGGAAATGCAATTTTCAAAAATTTTAAAATCATCACTTTGGATGTGAGTGATATCGTCACTGATATTAAGAGACTTTCGATTAAACTCATCTTCAATTAAAATACTTTTTCCCTTACCAATGCATTCAGGGGTCTTCTTCTTGGTAATTATACCACCTTCAGAAATAACAAGAGGACGTTCTTTCATTGACCAGAAATTGTGTTCTTTACCAAGAGTGTTATCTCCAAAAGCAGGTGGAGACGATTCAGAATTGAGTCAAGAACCAAATCTAGAAGGGAGAATCGGCTGGCGAATTTTGTGGGGGACACCTGCCAATGGTGGCCGGCGATCCTCCGACGCCATTGACGACGTTGCAGAAAAATCGTGAAACAGGTTTTCAAAAATAGTCAATCCCGGAAACTACGGTCCTTCTCTCTCCTCCGTTTGAATTGTTAGAACCTCTGTTTAAAAAAAAAAAGACTGTTTTAAAAAAAAAACAAGTTTTAAGTTTTAAGTTATTAAGGCATTTAAATTAATTTTAAAAAATAATTAATAATATAAATAATTGTTAAATCAAGTTAAATTAAGTCTTAAATATTTCTAAAAATTTAAATTATTATTAATAATTTGAATTGAATTTTTAAAATTATTTGAATTTAACTTAAATTAAATATTAATTAAATTTTAATAATTAGTTAACTAAAAAGTATTTAAAATATGAAGTATAACTTAAATTAAAGCACACACACACACACACACACACACACACATATATATATATATATAATTTATTTTTTAAAGTAAATTTTAATATGTTTTATTTTAAAAAAAAAATTAAAATAAAATTTCAATTATTTTAAATAAACTAGCAGTGCCGGCGGCTGCTCTAGACACGGCATGCTAGGATTTTCCAGTCTAAAACATATATAACGATCAACAATCATTGCTAATTAATGAGACTGCGACTACTACCCCACTTATCCACCTCAGCATGAGATAGAAGTCATTGAATTTCCCATAATTTGAAATTAACGATGCAGATTGAATCGGACCATAGGCAGAATCATGAGATCATAGCATGTGGTTAGACGAATTGTTGGATGGCAAGATTAGAGCCATTAATTATAAGACCAATGACTCAAAAAATGTACGCCTGAAGTAGACCACCAGGATGCCCTAGAACTCATTTTTTTGCTCATTTATTCGATTTGATCAATGAAATAACTTGAAATTTTAAACCTAGGTAGCCTAGGTGAACATAAATAATGGGGAATGTTGTTTTTGGCTTAAAATAAGCTTAATGAAAGGCTATTTGTACTACTATAATCTAGACTAGGGTTTGAATTTTCACCTAAATTTACAGACTGATTAAACCATTTAAGGATTTGTTGTATTTATAGACTGCCCACACTACATTTTTTAGATAAAACCACAACCTAAAATGCCTTGAATAGAAAGATATCGACCTTAGACCAATTAGAGCTTAGGTTCACCGAAGGATCTTCACCGGCAAGCCTTTTGCGGTGAGATTTCACTTGGAGAGTGAAGACGAGGTTCCCTGAAGCTCAAAAGAGTATAGAATGTACTCTAGGAAAGACTTAGGGGAGAGAGAATAGGGTTTGAAAAATGAGGCTTGAATTGAACCATTTACCCTATTCAAATGTCCCCTAGTCAAATGAATGGCTGGGATTAGTTGGGGGAGATCTAGATGCATTCCACCTATCCATGGAGCAATTGACAGTAGGAGGATCAAAGGACAAGAGGACACATGAGGTGGAAAGGCCTCTTGGTCCCCATTTGGACATGTGGAGTAATCTAAACCTTTTGATCTTAAATCAAGGATTGGGAGTAGCTCTAGAAAGGTTCTAGAGCACACTAGAGTTGCATGGATGATTTGGATTAAAGAGGATTAGCTTTAAGGGGTCATTTGACCAAGTTTGACCCACCTAAAACCTTGGTTTGGCTGTTTGACTTATCCCCATGCCACATGGTAGCTAAAGTGGCATGGGAGAAAGGTTTGAGTGCTGGTTGGAATTGTTCAAATGGCATTTGATGGTTTGATATTGGTGTTTGAATAACAGGACCTTAGGTAGATTTACGAGATTGTAGTGTGTGGTTGGATGAACCACAGGATGGCAAGATCAAAGCTATTCATCATATGATCAACGACTCAATAAATGTGAGCCTGTAGCAGACCATCGGGATGTCCAAGAACTCATTTTGTTACTTTTTTGATCGATCCGATAAATAAAATAACTTGTAATTTTAAATCTAGGAAGCCTAGGTGAACATAAATAATAGGGAATGTTGTTTTTGGGTTAAAACATGCTTAATGAAAAGCTATTTATACTAGTGTAATCTAGACTAGGGTTTGGATTTTCATCTCGATTTACAAACAGATTAAACCATTTAAGGATTTATTGCATTTATAGACTATCCACACTCCATTTTGTAGAAGAAACCATAACCTAAAATGCCTTGAATAGAAAGATATCGACCTTGGACCTATTAGATCTTAGGTTCAGTGGAGGATTGTCACCGGCAAGCCTTTTGCAATGGGATTTCACTTGGAGAGTGAAGAGATGGTTCCCTAGAGCTCAAAAAAGTATAGAATGTCCTATGGGAAAGATTTAGGGTAGAAAGAATAAGTTTTGAGGAATGAGGCTTTATTTGAACCATTTACCCTATTCAAATGTCCCCTAGCCAAATGAATGGCTGGGATTAGTTGGGGGAGCTCTTAGATGCATTCCACCTATCTAGGGAGCAGTTGAGAGCAATAGGATCAAAGGATAAGAGGACACATGAGGTGGAAAGGCCTCTTGGTTCCCTTTTGTACATGTGGAGTGATCTAAACCACTTAATCTTAAATCAAGGGTTGGGAGTAGCTCTAGGAAGGTTCTAGAGCACACTAGAGTTTTTTGGATGATTTGTATTAAAGAGGATTAGCTATAAGGGGTCATTTGACCAAGTTTGACCCACCTAAAACCATGGTTTGATTGTTTGACTTGTCCCCTTGCCACATGGTAGCTAACATGGCATGGGAGAAAGGTTTGAGTGCTGGTTGGAATGGTTCAAAAGGGATTTGATGGTTTGATATTGGAGTTTGAATGTATTAAAAGGGTTTGATCTATTTTGACCAAGTCTCAATGTGATGACTTAGTCAACTTGACTTCAAATAAGCTGGCCAAATATTAAGAAATATTAAGATCATGATTTGAAGTTTGTTTGAGATTTAAAATGGGTTGAATTAATTAAGAGCATTAAAATGATTCATATGGGCCAACTTTGACCAACCATAGACTCATTTGACTTGGTCAACTATTGATAGGTTCAATAGTCCAATCAAATCCAAATCACTCAAGAATATGTTCTAGGACTTTTGAGAAAGTGTTGAATACATTTGGGGTTTGAATTGAAGTAGAGAGGCTT